ATGATTTCTTTTAAAAGAATCCCTAGACCTAACCTTGTGTAGACTTACTATGTGCAACAAAATCCAAAATATAATAACTAAACTAAAAACAAGATGAATCGCAAAAAACTAGACCTCCTACCAAAGTCGTAAGATCCCAATAAGTATACATACAACATTGGTCCTATATAAGGGATAGAAAAAAAATACTACTTATTACAACACTGGCTCAATAAAACATTTGATATCAAGGAAGTAAATATCCCAAAAAAGCTTCAGCCATTATAGAAATAAACAACACAACCCCTAAACTCCAAATAAGAAGATTCTTTCTATAGTTTCTATAATAAATTTCACGATCCATATTAATAAATAAACAAATCCAAAGCAACAAAGCACCTCACAAGTGTAAACACCGCAACAATTCAAGAGACAACCCATCTAATATAGGGCCAGGTTCTCTAACAACATGGCTAAAACGATACATAGACCATACAAATTTTACATACTCAATAGAGCACACCACACCGCTAATCAATTGAATAACCATAGCCACCCAAGTCATGGAAACACTACATCCATATAAATATTATTTACCACTAGTTGGCATATAAACACGCGGTATATATACAGAATAAGACATAAATCGATTTATCACTACTCAAATAAAACAAACATTTTATGTTCTTCACAAAAAATAGATGTAAGTTACAATATACTAAATTGAGAAAACAATTAATATTAACACAACAAAAAAACCACGAAAAAAAAAAATAGGCTTGGAATTTATTATTTTTAAAAAGACATAAGACAATAGGTTGAAATCTCCACGATAATGACAAACCAACCCAATACTACAAATACAACTATAAAAATATTTCAACAAATATATAAGTAAATTTATCCCCATTAAACCACGAATTCAAATTTTACAGGACGGTTTTCAACCATAGGAAGCCATCACTCCACCAAAAATCGAACAAACTTAGAAATAGGTTTTCAACCACATATCTAAATTACAACAGTCAACAAGGATATATCTCAAAACTAATTTTATAAAACTAAACGTGGGAATTTTTTAAATAACCAAAATAATATTTTTATTGAATCTCATTAAATACTCAGATTTTCCAACCACACAATAGAAACAAATGAAAAGAATAATAAAACCTTAAAATCAATCCCAACTAACACAATAAAAAAATATATTATGTCACGATATAATAGAAAAATACCAGTGTTTAGAAAAAAAACCATGCACGGTAAACCACACAAACTAAATACAATAAAAAATAAACATCAAAGTTGTCATAAACTCGTACAACAATATAGTTTTTTTAGATTTATGCCTTCCTCTACCTCTACTCATAATAGCACCAACCCTAATAAAGAGCCTACACTTGGCAATAACGTGACATAATAACTAAACAATCGCTAGAGTTGGATCACCATGCAAAAAAAACCAAAGCACTAAGAAATGTTTTTTTTAGTGTAAAGTGCCACCAACTTCTTTATATCACAAAAAACCAATTGCACAAAATCCAGTAATAAAAATTGGTAGAAAACAAGAAACAATAATAACATCACCTGCTACAAATATTCTATCAAATAATCAACCATAGCAACACACAAACCATATACCAGCCGCAACTAGTGGAGAAGCGTACATCAAAGCACTAATAGGAGTTGGTACACGAATTGCTTCCAACAATAAAGAAACAAATAGAAAAGAGGTTCTCTTCGTTAATACAATCACTACTATACACGCATACAAGATTCCACTACTAAACCTTTTACATTCATACCTATAGCCTATCAAAATAAAAAAACAATATCACCCACACGAGAAACTAACATAGTTATTAAGCCAGCACACAATCTATAAGAATTAGAATAATTAAGAATTAACAGAAAACTAACCAAACCAATGTATTCTCATATTAATATAAAATAAAAATCTGTGTCATCATTAAACCACCCATAACAAATAAAAAAAACAACAATTAAATACCACAAAGACGATCGAACAAAAAAATAATGATCACAAAAAAAAGACTTAAGAAACAACAAAACATTAAAATAAATAAACACACAGCATAACAAATCCCAAATATTCCTCTCACTTCCAACACATCAAATAAACAACCAAACACACCCACAGAAAACACTCAACGGCCATAGAAAGAAATACCCAATAACACAACAACCACATATACAATGGAAAGACTAATAATAAACCACACAATCTTTGATTGAGCAACTATATCCAAGCTATGACCGAAATATAGTCCTAAGTATTACTTTATTAAAACACTAAGAAACATTGGTTTCATATGAGACGCTTAAAATCTACCCATCTAATCTGGAATTAATAATAATAGATATAGTTATTAACTCACAACGCCTTTAATCTCAAATTAAGGTGTAAATACTTCTTTATCTACACTTTTTTTCAAAGGCTGTATTGAACATCACAGACACCTAAAGTCTACCCATTTAATTTGGCAAACTTAACAAAATTAAGACATCACAAACAAAGTCCCAAAACCTTATTTTGAACATTATCAGATATCCTAAATAAAGAGCTTAAAAAAAATAGTTTTTTTGTTGGTTTGTTACGCTTCTATACAAAGCTGCAAAATTATACATGCGGTTGTAGTATTACAC